AATATGCAAAAGCGATGTAGAATTCTGTAAATTAATATAAAATTTCATAACTACTACTAAGCAATAATATTTTGTACAAATTATAGGTGACTGGTTCTATAAATTTTATCAGGGTTAACTGCTAAACGTTAAACCTCTTGCTAATCTGGTATGAATGGACTAGACAACAATGAGACGATATTGGGTTTAATGTGATGTTCATTTCGCCATTTTTGAATGTGTTGATCAATTTAAGGGCATTAACATATAAATGAGTTATAATTAACCTCATTTTACAATTTTTAATCTTTATAATAATTAATTTAATCTTAATATTTGTGATGTTTGAAATATTTTATGCATGATTTAGAGGTATACTTATTATTTGTGACATCAGTGGTAGCTGGTTCAAATATAGTATTTTATCAGGTAGTCAAAATCAAATACTAGATGCATTTATGACTGTTTTTTATCTTGGTGTTGTGACTAGGTAGAAACTTAATTATTAGAATACATATAACTATACACATGCACATGGTCGAGCTAGCATGACACAGTTAGAGCATACCATGAAAACAATGAATATGGATCGGCCCTGTATAAGCATTAATGCTTCATGGGTCATACCAGACTTAAACTTCAAGGGCTCGCGGTTGGTGATCTCATGTTTTACAGAGAAATGTGTCATTTGATAAAAATAAAATAAAATATTATAAAAATAAAATATAATATTTGAATTAATGAGTAATTTTTCACATCATCATGTGATTGCTCAGATTCTAAAAAGTCTATAAAATATATTAATCATTTATTTTGAGACTCAAACCTTATTTCAGTGTATACAAATAAACACTCATTTATAAAATCATTCTTGATTAACTTAATAGTTGAAAAGTCTTTTTTACAACTTGCACTAATAACAAATAATGTCAACAATAACTTTAGAAGCATGTACATTGAAGAAGAAATTGGAATTTAGTATTTCTTTGCAAATGTGTGCATGTGTTTAAGGGGAGAGGGAGACTTTTTAGGTCTAAATTTTTTGAGGAAGGGTTGAAACTCATATATCATTTGTTTGAATATTGCATATTAAATTGGAGTATTGAACATTTGGAAGTGATATATAATTCTTAAATTAGTATTAATTTTCAGTCCAGTTGACCAATAGCCTTAGACCTTTTGCTAATATGATATAGATCCAATAATCATAAGATGAGACTTAGTTTGATATGCAGATTCAAAATCCTTTTTATGTGTAATGAATTTGTACGACAAATACATGTAAATAAGCGAAGATGAACTTGATTAAGCATTTTGATTCTTTAGATAAATAAAATGGTTTAAGCGATGAACTAACTATACACTCACTCGATTGGTTTAACGAGTTCTGTTTTTATCACTTTTAGTAATTAGTTTATTCACAAGCTATCAAACTTCTTTGCTTCGTGAAGAAATAGGTGGCCATCTGTTCGCTAGGTTTAGGTGCTTTGATTCACATTGTCGACTGTGAATAGAGAAGAAGCATTTGGAACTCAAAATTGGTGAAATTTGGATGTTTCTAGGTTTCTATCGATTCTAGGCAGTGGGAAGAAAAAGGAAAGGAAATGGGGAGAGTGGTGAGATACAAAGCTCTGAGTGAGAGATGGAAGAACAAACGGAAAAACAAAGAGGAAGGCTAAGAGAGTGAGAGAACATACTTAAAAGAGGGAGGGAATGAAATAATGTGAAATAATTGCCATTTTGGTTTGCTTAGTGGGTATTTTTGGGCCTCTTCTGTTGAGTTTTGATTTATGTTAGGAGAAGACATTATATTTGATAGCTTTTTTGTTTCAATTTCAATTTAAAATCCTAAATCAATATTATCATTTGGATGATTTTTTTCTTAATACGAATAGTGGTTTTTTATTTAAAGTTTGAATTGAAAGATCGTATGTACCGGCAGTTCGACAATAAAACTTCACACTATAGGCTAAATTGATAGGTGATATTTAGCAATATGACACAGTTGAACCATTGTTAAATTATGATTTCAGTATAAAATACTCACTATCAACTTTTTGGAGACGATTTGACAATCCTTTGGTTCCAACAATTCTATTACACGGGCGGAAACAAAAGTTTTAAGACACATTGAACTATTTAATGCAAAAAACCATTAGTCACTCAGCGATAATGAGAATATGCGATCTCATTCAACCCAAAAGACACTTTACAACTTCTATATTTTTAAAATAAATGTATGCTTCTCATACACTCGCTCATTGATCAACTTAATGAGTAACATATATTCCATGTAATATGAATTTTATAGGTTATTATTTATTGAATTATTTAATGAAAAAAAATATTTGTTGCATGAAAATTACTACATTGTTGCTATACATGTCTGCGATGTGAGAATAATTTGGTAAGTCCGTACACATCACATTGTCCAACTAGCTATTAGCTACAAGTTAGCATCATGTCCAATATATTCCAAATCAAACAACTTCAGATTCATTACCAATGGTGTGGTAAAAAAGAAAGCTCTATATTGAGAAAAACTTAAAGGAAATACTAAACTCTATAAGATACATTTTGTTTCATTCTAAAGGTTGATTATATATGTATTATTAGAATCAACTCTAATATTCAATTATATGGTTTGATTAAGCAATAAATAAAAATTAGTTTTATTTATTTATTTTTCATGCTTATATTATATATTTTCTCTCTTTTCATGGAGGTCTAAACACATTATGCATTGTTGGATCACTTTCAAAAATATTATGTGCATAACTAAGAAAACAATCATTTCATGTATTTCAAATCATCGATTATATTAATTATTATATATTATATTACTCGATAAAATTCTTTCGGCCAACGGGCCGGGCCCTGTGTTAGTTGCAATAAATAGCAAAAACTTACATGTACATGTCCATTCTCAAAATTGGAGAAAAAGATAAGCCAAACACAAAAATTTGTTCAAGCAATGGGCTAACGGTTCCTCTCCAGCAGACCTTCCAACACCACTCTTCTCTTGTATTCCACCGAATCCAAATCCGGCCGACCCGCACCGCTACTACTCCTGCCGCTGTGGTTATTAGCCTTGACCTCGCCGGTCCTCAAACGCGGAACGAAATACAACCACGCCGCCGTACAAACAATTGCACAGAACCAGCCCCACGGCCCACGGAATGCATTACCCTGGTTTCTATTTTTTAATTAACCACCATGACTACCTCTTTTTTGGCCATACAAATCAAGAGAATCCAATCTAAGGGCCCACTATGCTGAAGGGTGTTTTTGGAAGGGACCCACAGGATCACTATCCGTCATTATTGGGCCCGAAATCAGAGGGGGAAATTCCTTGCCCCACGCTTCCCCTTCTTTATTGTTTTTCTTTCCTTATCAACGCCTCTTCCAAAATCCAAAACCATTTTCCCTTTTACAGAAGCTTCTTCAGCGGGGCCTCTTGCTATTCCCAAGGTCTCTCTCCGCCGCCGTCCACTCTCTCTGTCGTTACCCTCTCTCCGACGCCGCTGGCTCGCTTTTGTCGTTTCTCGTCTCTCCCCTATGCAACCACCATAATCCTAATTCACCGGCAACGTTCTTCCGTTACCCTCTCTCCCTCCGCCATAACCCTAATGCACAAGATTCTTCAACGGAGCCCTTTGCTATTACCTTCGTCGCAGGCTCTCTTTCGTCGTTTTTCGTCTCTCCCCGGCACAGCGGGACACCTTTTCTGTCCGGTCACCGCAGTCACTCCTTTTGGGCCGAGGAGTGGTTGTTTCTCTGTTGGTGGATCGGCGAGGGTCCTCGGCAACTCCCTTTTATTTCCAGTTCCTCCCACTCAGATGACGCACCGACAAAGTTCATTTTACCTCCTTTGGCTCCCTTTTAGTTTTTGTATCTTTGCGATCGTGTTCATTTGTTTGGCGTGGATTGGTATATTATTGGTCATTTGGTACTGAATGGTAGTGGTCAATTTTGGTAGTGATCTAGCTTTTAGGTTGTTTGGTATCCTTTGATGTTTGGTGTGGAATGATAGTGATCAGTGTGGTATCTTTGCAATGGTAATATGGTATTCTATGTAACGGTAGTGGTTAGCTTTTAATGCATTGGTAGTGATATGCATCCCTGTGATGTTTGGTGTGGAATGGTAGTGATCAGTGTGGTATATTTGTAATGGTAGTGTGTTCTATGTAATGGTAGTGGTTAGCTTTTCATGCGATGGTTAGCTCATACTACCACTAACAAATCATTACCATTTGATGCAAATATGACAAGATGCAACCAAGATGAAACCAATAACATCCATTAATGGACATCACGTACATGTATACCAATCCAACACGACACCACACGATTGTAAATATTTGAATACCATTTTAAAATGCTACTCGTAATAAAAATATCTATCCAATCGTATACATATGGGTTTTGGTTTCCTGTGGAATGGTATTCTTTTTGTTTTTGTATATCGCCGTCGTTTTTTTGGCGTGGATTGGTATATGATTGCTGATTTGGTAGTGATTTAGCTTTTAGGTTGTTTGGAATGGTAGTTCCAATAATGCATTGGTAGTGTGTAGGTTGTTGAATGGTAGGTTCCTTTCATGCATTAGTAGTTTTTTGCATACCAGTGATTCTGTGCTATTTGGTGTGGAATGGTAGTGTTCATTTGTCATGGTAGCGTGTATGTTATTTGGAATGGTAGGTTCTTTTCATGCATTATTAGTGATCTGCATACCTTTGATATTTGGTGTGGAATGGTAGTCTTCATTTTGAATGTTAGTTTGTGTTCCATGCAACGGTAGTCATGTTTGGTGTGGAATGGTAGTGTTCATCCGTAATGGTAGCGTGTCAACTATCGTCATTGCTAATCTTCCCCCCTAAGCCTGCGTTCCCACTGCTGAATTCTTTTCCTCCAGTAAATCTTGGAACAAACCCCTACTGTGATTAAAACTCCGTATAATTAGTTTCCGCAATGATCTCTCCTATTTTCCTAATTAATTGCGTTATTAAAATGGTAGTTAATATTAGGAAGGATGCAAAATACCCAAGTTATCCCTAGTAACCACCGTGGCTACTAAGACAAAGTATCCACCGTAACCCCTACCCACGGCCCACACCACCATCATCACCAACGTCACCGCTATAATTGATAGCCCCACCACCGGACCCAATTCCCCTTCTTCCTTGTTCTGCTTTCTCCTGGCGCCCGCCGCGCCACCACCTTTGCCGTCTCTTTCACCGGACCAATAATTTTTTTATTATTATTATTGTTAGTCGCGGGGACAATAATTGGATGCACCTGGTGGAGGTCCGGCGTCGGGAATGTAATGGATCGGGAAATCACCACACTATCGTGTTGGGCCTGCGGGTAGGGCTTGGAGACCGGGGAACTCGGATGGCTACTACTTGATCTGCTTTTAGCTTTGTTCCCATTTTCAGCTTTTCTCCGGCAAAAGGATAACCGCTTTTTGCATGTGCCGCTCCTTGAGGACTCCTCCACATCACCGGAAATCTCTAAAACGATACCGTTTTGAGTCAGGACAACACAATATCGTCCTTTTCCGGTGACCCATTTCTTGCTAGGGTCTGTAACAACTAACAAGAGCACCAATATACGTTAGGGATGGCAATGGGTCGGGTCGGGTGCGGATAGTGTATATCCGTTACCCTATCCAAAGTAGTTCGGGTTTTACCCATACCCACATGAGAAATAGGTAGAAAATCAAAATCATGCCTATACCCGTTCGAATTTCGGATATCCACGGTTATCTATGGGCAATAATTTCTCTTTATAACTTCAACCAATATGTTAACATTTACACTTATTTTCACATTACATAAGATGAAAAGTACAACAATAATTCACTCGAAGGAAGAAAATTAATTAAAGAACACAATTTCATGAAAATATTGTATTTATATGCTAAACATAAAATATGTTAGAGAAAAATAATGATTATTTATAAACAAAATACATATAAATGTGTATAATCGGGCGGGTTCGGGTTGGATAGTGAGAAAACCATGCCCACTTATTACCCGCAATATTCGGATTCGGGTTTTACCCGTACCCGCTAAAAGTTCTTCGGGTTCAGGTTTTATCCTACCCGTTTAGGTCGGATTCGTACGGATATCCACGGTTACAGATATTTTTGCCATCCCTAATATAAGTCAAATATAGTCAATTAACAGAAATTTAAATTTAATTTCTCACAAACTAACTAATGGAATTCCCCCAACAAAACTAATGGAATTCCCCCAATTCGTCTTCGGATTTTGTCTAGTATTTAATAATTATTTTATTTTTGGGGGTTGGCAACGGAGCAACTTCGCCGGCGACGTTGGAGGAAGCCTTCTTCTCCTCCTCCGTGACGGCGGCGGGGGTGGATGACTTTTCTTGGAGGCCTTACAGTTGGTCTTCCACTTGATGAGCTTTGGCTTGTGGAAATCCGTTGATTTCGGGTTATCGGCGGTGATAGGAGAAGCCCGCCAGGTTCGGATTGCGTATGAAAAAACGGGCCCGCACCCGCCCATGACAAACCCGCGAAGAAGCCCGCCAGGTTCGGATTGCGGTCGGGGACGGGGAAACCCGCTAATTGAGTGAGAGCGGGGATGGGTCGGGGTCGGATCTAATACTATCCACCCCCGGCCCCGTCCGATATTGCATACGACGTCGTTTTCCTCTCTTCAGATATAGCATTGCAACGCATGCAACAGCCAGAAACCCACCACCAATAAACTTTCCCCAAAATCCAAATTCTCTTCTCTCGCAAATGCAGCATCACGATTATTGCGACGCCGATTTTCCAGACTCTATCACGATTCACGCGCGGTGAGTCCTTCTATCTTCCATTCTTCCTGCCAATCGTTCGTTTTTCTAGCCTCGATTACACCTCACCACCAATCAGCCTTCATGAAAACCATAGAATCTCTCTCTCAAACAACCATCAAATTAGCCAATTGCCCAATCGGAAGAACAACTCTTCGATTTTTCCTGCTAATGGGTTTGGGAGAATTGAATTGGATGATTCTGTCCTTTGCTGGCTTCACGCCATTAACCCTACTCTTAGGCTATAAATATGACCTTAAACGACACTTGAGGGCACACTTCCAGACTTCATTCACAAATCCAATCCTTTGTTCATCGAGCTTTCTTCACCCGCAAACTGTAGTATCGCACGTTTTCTTGATCTGGTGAGTTTTTTGCTTTTCCCTTACTTGCCTTGTTAATTTTTCGTGTAATTTTCTGTTAGATTATTAGGGTTCTAATGAATTGTGTCCTAATATGTACAAGGTACCATGGAGAGTATTCAAAACGTTGGTGGAGCTCCTGTTGTTGCTGCTGTTGGAGCAAATGGTGTTGTTTCTCAACTTGCTTGTAACACCCTACCCTATACATATTACCTAATTATATTGTTCATACAATTACAGCGGAAATAATCTCTGGTGTTACATTAATTACAAAATTTACCCAAATAAAATTTCGACATGAATTACTCGCGTAATGAGCTAACAGTTCTTGTAACTAAATCCTGCAAAATTATTTATCTTAATCCATGCATCCATAGACATACACATATGCCCATAACCATAACCATTGACTTTCATAGCCATAGTCACAGTTTTCATACTCCACAACTGCATACCATATTTATACATACCATAATCGTCACAACTTACACAGTTACACAAAATATACACGTATCATCAACTTTCCACACTTGTGGATATCTCACACTACATCAGAAGCTAGTATGCACATGAAAAACGTTCTCAAAACATTTTTACAAAAAGGTGTGGATCACTGGCCAAAATCTCGAGTAGTAGTCCAAGCACATAATAGTTGAAGACCATACCTCATCTTGCCTTCAACTCTTGCTCAACTCCCACCTATACACCTATCTACTGCTGCTGAGGATGATGATCTGCTTACACATGGCATAAGCAGAGAAAAAGGATAAAGAGGGTCAGCTCATAGCTGAGTGAGATAATCATCGCATAATGAGTTCATAACCAACATACCCCTACCATACATCTAACAATCAAGCCAAAGCACTAGGATCAGACCTCAGCCATCCGACATCCCAATAGGCAAAAGACTCAACCATCTTGACTTATGCATATGCATCTTATCATGTTTTAATCATAGGCGCCTGGCTACTCCCATGCTAATTACTCTCCCGAGAATACGCACCAAACATCTCGTGGATGTGGTCATATCGGACCCACCACTGCCGGTGTAGTCATATCGGACCTGACACCACTCTGGGTGTGGTCATATCGGACTCAACACCACTCTGGGTGTGGTCATATCACATGATGAATCAACGGTCAACACCACATCAGGGGTGTGACATAACATATCATAACGGAGTAATAGCATGGGGAGCCCTAATTACTATGCAATTGACCATGAGACCAAAGTACTCTTACTTGGTATCCTTATACATGATCCATATCTCATCTTGCTTAATCATAATTCGTTACTTGCACATGTACTCGACCTGGCCACAATTGGCTCAACATAGGTAAATCATGAGTTGTATAATTGCACTTCCTCGGGATAAACCCTCGTGCAAGTCATCCTCCTTAAACATCATAATATCACCAGGGAATATATATTTTCCCACTTGTGCATCCAAATACAATAATCATGAAAAATCATACCTAATCACCTTCTCGAACCATCATGAGCATATTAACAGTCAAGCCCACAATTTGCAACATATACACAATCATCATCATAAACAAGGTTCATATCGATTAGGGAAAGTCAATAATATCATACAGCAGTCCAGAGTTCATGATATAGCACAAAAGTCCATACACCCCTAATCATGCCATTCTAGTTCACCTAGGTCAATTATAAGCATCAATATATATAACTATCTTGATACGACAAACCCGGTATGCCGTGCTAATCCCTCACCAGTTCTGGTAGTTCAAACACCGGTTTTAGCCTCCCGTACCCCAACTTCACTTTTCTCAAACAAACTCGGAATCAAAATCCAAGATTGTCCTAATATCCCCTGCAGTATCCCCGTCAATGTTAGTTCTAGGATCCGGATCAAATTCTCGATAAAAACACATCAAACCCTACCCGGAGCTAAATTCACGATCCCGGCTCCGACCTAAATAATAGCCGAAATTCATGGATTAGAACTAGAGGATTGATTACCTCGCTGCAGGAAGCTCGTATATAAAATTTGGGCTCAATCCGGCTTCCGGATACTCCAAAACCCTAATTTAGCTATCGGCAATTCAAGAAATTCATTAAACAAAAACTCGTTTTAAAGCTCTAAATCGATAAATCACGATGTATCGATGAATTAGACATTACTTACGAGATTTTTGGATCACTAGGGCTCAAGATTGGAGCTTTGGAATTTTCCCCAGTCGTTCCATGAACTCTCCGCGCGCTGCCTCTGCTCTCGGTCCGGAAATGGGAAAAAGGAAGATGATGATGGAATTAAGTGACGGGGAAGATTTATTATATGCGGCCCGGCCGCTTATGATTTATTTTATATTAATTATATTATATATATATAATTAATACGTATACTTATCCAATCGATCGATAATCCGATTTTCGTCGAAATACTATCAAAACGCTCGATTTTAAATCGTGAAATTTTCTAGCGATCGAAATATGGGTTTAGCCGAAATGGGATGTTACATTGCTGCTCCACCTGAAGCTATTCTGGCACCTCAAGTTGCTGCTGCTGGAGCCCAGGTTGCTGCTGCTGGAGCACCTCAGGGTGTTGTTATCAATGACGACAATGGTAATAGTGATGATGTGATTGATTCTAGCAGGCTAAAATCTATAGTTTGGAATCACTTTACCAGGATTAAAGTGAACAATGAGCTTAAGGCTAAATGCAAATACTGTCGAAAGCTACTATGTGGAGAATCAAAAGATGGTACTTCGCATTTGAAAAGCCATAGGAGAACTTGTTTATAAAAAAGAATCGGGGATAGAACTCAGAAGGTTCTTGGTGCTAACTATGCCCCAATTGGAAGGAGGAATTTGGTAATTAGTGCATATAATTCTGATGTTTGTAGGAGGGAACTTGCTACTGCTATCTTGATGCACGAGTATTCACTTTCAATGGTGGAACACTTGTATTTCAAGAGGTTTGTTTGTTCTCTACAGCCGCTCTTTACTGTTCCATGTCGCAATACTATTAAGAAAGACATTTTCAAATTATATAAGTCTGAACGTATTAAGGTTCAGAAGGTTATTGATGACAATAAGGGAAGAGTGGCACTCACAACTGATATGTGGACAACCTCCACTCAAAAGAAGAGTTATATGGCTGTAACTGCATACTACATTGACAATTCTTGGAATCTCATAAGCCATATGATAAGGTAAAGCTTTCAAGATGGTTTATATAAAGTTTTCAATTTTGCTGCCTTGTTTTGTGTATA